TAGTTAAAATGTTTTGTTGTAAAATATGCTTTTTTGAATAAGTATACATGACAACTTTTTTAAAAGTTCACATTAAGTAAATAGATTAAATTTAAATTTTACAAGTCAAACTAAATCTATAGTGTCTAACTCAACTTATTTTAGACCTAACAATTTAGCAATACGACAAAAGTAACATTGTTTGCGCGTGTTATTGAATTTGAAACTTTTTAAAATTACTTCAAACTAATTAGGTAGTTAATGTGATTTAAAATTGGTTCACTAAAAGAAACTAATTTTAATTAGAAATATAAATTCCTCAATTTCTATAATTTTTTTTTCTAGATTACAAGTATAGTTATTAGTTTATGTGATCACAAATTAAACTGAAATAATTTTTTATCAATTGATTTATGCGTTTCTTGATTTGATTTTATTTTTTATAGAATCTAAAACTATGTCTAGCCTAATATATAACCATAGTTATGAAATTACTCTATTTATAATTTAATATTAGTCAATTTAAATTTGAGATTATATGTTAAACTAAAATAATTTCTTATTAATTGATCCACGTATTTTTTCATTTAATTTTATTTTTTTATAAAATCTAATATTATGTCTAGCCTAATGTATAAACACAGTTAATGAAATTACTCCGTTTATAATTTTAGATTAGTCTATTCAAAAAAAAATTTAAATAATTTATTATAAAATATGGTTTTGAATATCTTTATAGGCTAGACTTTTAATTAGAAAAAGGTCATAAAGGGATCAAACTTCAATCTTAAATTAAAACAAAAAACAAAAATAAAAACAAAACTTAAACTTTGTACAGTCTAACCTGACTTGGTGACAAAGAAGGTTAACAGAAACATAATGCCAACAAAGTAGTAGCAACTGCACAACATAGAGAACAACGATGGCTAGGCTTGCAGGCACAGCAATACTTGGGAATTGGACTATAGGAATGCTTAGAAGAATGCCACTTAGTCTTAGAGAAAGGGAACACTCGTCGTAGAGAGTCATGGGATTTTTCAATTGATAATTGAGTAAATATTTTGAACCTTAGATCAAAGATTTTATGTTCATATTAAAGTAATGAGCCACACAATTCACAATAGATTCATCCTTTTCATAACTCGTTTGTTGAGTGGGTTAAATCGGGCAAATCATAATGATTATAAATGAGCCTAGTTTTATCTAGGACTTGCCAGTGAATTGGGTTGAGCTAAATTGATTTGTGAATTTGAACTCATTTTGATGCCTCCAGCCACAAGTATTGATACCTTTCTAGTAATGAAAAAGATAATTTAAAATATTATTTAACAATACAAACTTTGTTTAACTGTTTTGTTAACAAATATCTTATATTTTTTTAAATGTTTTTTTAAATATTTTAATCATTTAAAAAATTATAATAAATGACTTTTCATTTTTGATAATATGACAATCTTTTTAGTAATTATTTTATTTCATCAATTGATGTCATCGAAACACTTGTTGATAGTTTTATTATTTAACTTAATTATCAATCATAAATGTATAACTTTTTATTTTTAAATTTAAAGTCTTATGAATTATAGTTTTGAAAACATTAATTAAAAATGAAAACTAAAGTATTCTAATTAAACTAACATAATAATGTATGAAAAACTATAAAAGATATATATTGACCATATTTTGAATTCCTTAATTAATTTCTTAAAGATTTTGGTTGACACATATCGTAAATTTATGATGGATATTTAAAATTTGATAATGCAATTAATGAATAATAAATAAAGGATATGATGCATTAAAGAGTTAATTAAGATGGGTTGCGATGTATCATAAAACGAACTCGAAACGTAGCATTACTGGAAGACAAAAATGGCATTAATTTCAAGGCAAAGGTGAGTGCGAAAAGGAAGGGCTCTGCTTCTGCTGTGGCTCCATGGCAGTAAGTGGTGGGCTTGGAAAGTCAGAGATGAAATGACATTCAAAAGAAATCAATGCTTAACAGACATGATTTTGACGTTTCAGATTCTCATTGTCAGAAATGACCATAGTATATAAATGTGTGTATATATATATATATTAACCTCATTTCTTAATATTAGTTTAAGAATTTTAAAAAGATCATTAAAAATATGTGTTTGTTACATTAAAACTACAAAAGAGTAATAAATATTTTTTAATAAAACTTTACAATTATTGAATGTTTAAACTTAATTTTAAAATTACGAGTAATCTTTTTAAAATATTTGTGTTGAATAATAATAAGTTTTCATTAAAAAATATAGAATTTAATGTTATTTATATATTAAATCATTTAAATTTTTATTTTTAATAAAATTATTATACATATTTTTTATATATATCTTTAAAGTTATGTTAAAAAAACTTAAAACTATAATATCAAAAGGTAAAATGTGAGAGAAAAAAAGTATATATACACTGTAATATTCCCATTTCTTAACAAACTCAAATTGGTTTATATATTCTCCCTTACTCTCCCTCTCTTTGTTTTATTGAAACATATAGAATTTTGTAAATTCCAGCATGGGTATAATCAGTAAGAAGATGCTCCCAGTAGAACTCATCCTATATGAAACATGTTTCTTCTGTTCCCGCCATTGGGATTAATTTCCTCGAACTAATTAACTTTTCAAACATTTTTTGGTACTGTTTTTTGTGCTGTCCGCGAGTGGTTTGTTAATGGGACAACACACAAGATGGTCAATACGCAATAGTAATAAAAGTTGTAACTAATTTTTTGAAGCAACCTGCAAAAGTAGCTGTTTCATTTTTAGTGCTTTCATGGAGATTCCTGTATGTTGAGATGGGGATGCCATAATGCCAAAATGGTGGTCCATGAATTCCTTTTCGAAAAGGCCTTTGTTAATTTATGAGTTGGAGTGTGCTTGGGTACAGGACCAAATCTTGTCTTAGATATTTTACTTTGAAAAGTAAAAAGAAACCCTATTTTGTTTTTTTTTTTTAGGTCTTTCCCCTTTCCATTCCATGAGAAAAATATTATACGCGAAAAATTACATTATTTATGTAATTCAAGAAAGGGGAAAAAAAAATCTTTGCATGCTGGAACTAAACCTATTTACTAATCACTAAATTTGTTTAGAATTTTAAGGACCGTAAACGTGAAAACTTTGTGATCTTGAGGCACGGGAACCCAACGAAAATGCATTTCATATCTTTCTACCAACATTATTAGTGAAAATAGATGCTTTGAATGATATTTTAAGCCAAGCTAGTTGTTTTCAGAGATATTATTCCAATCTACTTTTTGGGTATGCATGAAATCTTTAGATACGAGACATACTTTCTTAGTTGCTAACCAATATCTATAATCACCTTCTACATCTTTTTAACGTAATTATTAACTTCAATAAAACGTTTTATTGCTTTGATTATAAACTTTAGCAATTCAAAGAAATAACGTGTCATGTCTTGTAGCATTCCATTATTGAAATGACAAAGGTCAGATGTCGTTAGTATTGTTTATTAATTAAAGTTTAAAATTTTATCTTGATAATTATGATAATACTAAAAATATTTAAAGAACAACATATAATTTTTTTTATTGAAACTTGTGTGTAAATTTATAAGCATTCATAAATTCCAATACATATTAAGCGAAACTAATTAAGCATTATTTAGAGATTACATTAAGATTGCCATCATGAAATTTTCAAACTTCGATTCTTACCATTTGAAGTTACCTTTAGTAATTTCTTAAATATATTAATAGAGGGCTTGCATTAAGGAAGATTATAGGTAAATAAAATGCGTCAAGTTTTATGAAGCAATATTACATATGTTACACATTTTCATTTGAGTCACTTGTATCTCGATCTTAATAGGTGCTTTAATGATAAAATAATAATAATTTTGTTAATATTATTTTTAAAAATCTTTTGAAGTATATAAAATTTTAAAAACATTATAAATATTGATATATAAAATATAATAAATAAAATTTAATTTGCAAAATAAGTATGGGTCTTTTTAAGGATACAGTATGAGAGTCGGTATATTTTGCATTTTTCAATATTTTTCTTTATTGTTTTACTAGAATTTTAATAAGTATATACATGCACGCATAGACATGTTATTTGGGGATTGACAAAAGCCCACTTAACTATTGACGTGTTTTAATTATACAAGTTGGTTCTTTGTGCATGCCGATGCGGCTCAGGAAAGATTAAAGAACTACGAAAGATATTAATTCCAAATTTTTAAAGTAATTAAAGCTTAAAGTGATAATGTTTTTTAATCTGTTTAAAACATGTTAAAATTTTAAAATAAATTTTTATTAAAAATATTTATTATCTTAAATTTCTAAAAAATCTAATGCATACTTTTTATAAGCATTTAAGATATTTAATAAAGTTTATTTCATGTTTTTTAACATGTGTACTTGAAAACACAAAATAATAAAATAATTAAAAAAATCTTATATTCCACCTTTAAGTGCTCTAGTTTATGTTTACTGATACACGTGTGCTTAATGATTAGCATTTGATCATTTGGTCAAATACCACTAAACATAATTGAAACTTGATGTTCAATTCTATACTTAAGCATTTGACTATTGATGATCGAGACAGACTTGACTAATTACTTGACAGTCAGCCTCGTGCTTGTTCAGGGCATTAATCATAGTATTTGTTAATTTATATAATTTAGTTCAAAGAGTCTTATTCTAAAGAGAGTAATTTTGATTTTTTTAAAACAAAAAAATATCTCAATAAATATATTTTCTTCAATTTTTTTTCTCATGACAGAAACTAGGTACATAATATATTTTGCTCCAAAGAAAGAATTTTATAATTGTATATTATGATAGTTTTTTCTCTTCATTCTATTTAGTACGTATTACCATAAGGGATGTTGACATTGTTTTCCTGTTCGAGCTTAAAACACTACCAAATATGGTTTATCCATGATCTATATCTGCGCTTGTTAAAAGTGACAAGAGAAACTAGCATTCTTACTTCAAATTAAGTAAAAACATCCATTGAACAAGTAGTAAATAGTGACAATACACTAGCGAAAGGAAAAAAAAAGTGCTGATTGTCCTTAAAACTCATTATAAGTCAGGACATTGTTTTCTTGACAGACTCAAATTAAACTGAAGTCCTGTGATATGATTAAGATAGCCTTCATTTGTTCAGTAGCGCAGCCCTTGACATTAAATGCTTCTCAGAGACCTGAATATAATACAAAAAAATAACATCTTATTAGCCGAAGCTTCATACCAGAGACCCGATAATATATACCTGCTATGCAATGTAATTTATAATGAATATAAAACATGCATCATGATTTGATATAACTTGAAAGTCACATGCATATGGATTTAATAACATATAGCAGCTACTCCCTTTCTTATCCCTCCAATTTAAAAAAGCAATGTCACTAAAAAAACAATTTGTTTTTTCTGATTGATATTTTTAAATCTAGAACAGGAAAAAGGAGAAGAAATTAGAACAAGTGATTTGATTTCATGTATAAGATCAAATCACGGCGAATCGTAATTATTTCCTGTTAATATAATAAATAACATAGAGAAAAAAAATTACTTCAATACTTACATTCTCCATCTTAGCTTGATTGTTGCTCTCCAACATCAGGCCGAAATGAATATGGGGAAAATGTGCCCACTAAAAATGAAATATTTCCAGTTATTATATTTATTACGCGGGTGTATATATATATATATATATATAAACTACAATATTTATTTTCGGTTATCTGAATCTGGTCCTTACGTTCTTTGCAGCAGTACTGAATGCTTCTCTGTGACTGATATCAGGATTATTGGCTTTGATCCTCTGAATCTCTTCCCTACATAAGAACAAAGACGTTTCAAAGATGCTTTATGTTACCAATTGCATCGAATATATATAGTTAGTAAAATTATTTGTAAAGCATGAGTTACTTTATAAACTGATTATAAGCAGAAGGTACTCGCTGCCTCTTCTCGGGAGCTGGAAAGAAAATAACAACTCATGAGATCAATATCGTAGATATATAACACTACAATTATTTTTATTTAAATTTTAAAAGAAATTAGCTATAAATGTGGTTATGATGATTTTGAGATTAGATATTATTAGATGGGGAAAAGCTAAACACTCACGCCGGTTCACAACCCTCTCCTCAGTTACATGAGTGGTGGGTGCACGCATTGCAATCCTATTGTTGCATTTTGAGGTGGAGCCAGTGTCAATCCTATACTCTGGATTGCAGTGCCCGGGTGCCTGAAAATGAAAAAGTTAGCATTAACATTAGCGATGCCCATATCTAAATAATGTGATGGAAGGAAACTGTGTAGCTAGGAACAAATTTATAATAATAAACTGTTTCTTTTTTCATGATGGCTTGCTTAAGATAGTGGAAGACCAAGATCAGGGATTCTATACTTTTTAATTATTAAACTAAATGTTCTTCTATTTTCTTCTTTTTTTAATCGGTTCTTTGTTCAAACTATATGATTTGCATAAAATGGAATGGTAAACTTTTTTATAGGAAATGTTTTATGCATTGTTTAGAGGACATCTGAAGATGTCTTCATTATTTTGGACTTATTTTTAATATACACATGTAAAAAAAGGAAAAAAAAATATTTTTGCACAATAATATACACTATTAATTTTTATAATTTAAATAATAAAATTACTTTTTGTTTGTTTCGGAGAGTAGTTGAACAAAATGGGTATCTGCAGTAGCAAAGAGTTTACTGTATTTTAGATGAAGTGGCTTATTGTATATGTAGTTTGAAATGGAGTGTACTTAATTGACAAGAAAATGAAATCATTTGATAAAAATTACATGGAACAATATTATTTTACATGGAGAAGTGTGTAAACTTGGTTTGACCAATTAATCAAACAGAGCCGAAACGATGCATTCTCATAGAGAGAAACGAAAGCGCCTTTAAAATCACTGAGCAGTTAGACAGGAATGCAACTAATCAGATAAACGAAGTACAGAAAACCCAGATAGACAGTTGTTGAAATGAAGGGCTTACATAGATTTAGGGATCTACACCAAGATACCTTTTTTTTTTCAAATAAAATAATGATAATCTAATTAAGTAGGGGTGTTTGGCATGGAGAGGACAAGATCTTGAAAAGAAATCATTAAACCTAGCCAGGAACTAACTATCTTCTTGCTTATAATATATACATGTCAATCAAATCAACCCTGAAGGTAATATCATCAAAAAGCCTTAAAGATATATATTTTTTCAGTACATGTATATATAGATATGCTTTGCCTTGATGGGTTAGGACAGGTCCTGACGCCTCTACCAAAAGTGTAAAAAAGAAAGGCCAATAGGTTTTGCTTATGGCGGCTGCAGGTTGTTGCTAGATATCTATCTAGGGCTTTCAGTACTGCTCTCAGGTAGAAATAACAGACAAGCTTGCTTTGAAACACTCGTTTCAACACACAGAGATGCTTCGATTTTCTCATCAAGAATAACTCCCAGAAACCCTACCCTATGATCCAGAAATCAAAGAGGCTAGTTTTTTTATTGCTATATATGTGGGTATGTAGTATATTGTACTTTTGTTTAGTTAGCTGTATTTATCATAATTAAACCAAAAGAGAGAAAATTAGTTGGAATAGTATACTATACTGCATCTCACCTGAACATCTTGCCATGACAGTGACTGAAACGCGGCGGCCATGTTCACGGACCATAGATTGGTGCAGTGCCCACATCGAACGGTCACGATGTCAAACAAGCTACTGCATGGAACACTCACCTGCATATATATATATATATATATATACACTTGTTACTCATTCCGTTATTCACAGAGATTTGATTAGAAACCAAAAACTAAACAAGGGTTAAAAGTAGATCATATAATGATTTTATACTTGGGATGATTTGATCTCGTGAAAAGAGAAAGGACCAAAAAAATAAATAAAAATAAATTGAGAAGTGGGATTTTGAGGAAGAGGGTGCAGCTTGGTTTTATTTGAAAAAAAAAAAAAGGTTCGTCAAATTGAAAGCTGGTACAATCCAGCCTGGATCATTCGGGTTTCTTCTTTATCTGTTATAACCGGGATTCCTCAGTAGATTTACATTTTAGTTTTCCTATTATGCTAAAGAAGCCAACTTGAAACCTAGATGCGTAGTGCAGTGCTTGAGTTTTAGCATAAGGTAGAGGTAAATTAGGTCTTAGCTTAGAGATAGAAAATCAAAGGGTGGAGAGGACTTGTCCTATCAACAGTTTTGACATATAGTGCCTTTCTTTTGGCGTTTTCAAGAGGACACCACCATATTTACCAAAACAGCTAGCTAACACAGTTGACACAAATAGCCTCATCCACTCTTGCCCTTTCTTCTCTCTAACCCTTGCTATGACAAAGAAAGGGTAAAGACCATGTGTGTGTGTGACCTTGTTGAAGATATGACTTTTTCTTTGACTGCAAAAGAAAGAAAAAAGAGAAGTCCAGAGATGGAGACATGACTGTAACAAAAACTAGGAAGCCCAGAAAGAGAGAATTAAAATAACACACCCCACTGGTTCACCAAAGGGCACACACACACACCCCGTAGCTTCCTTTTCAGGATCTGAATAATTCTATCCTTGGATGTGTACAGGAGAAAGAAAACAAACAGGCAATAGAAACAGCCAAGCATGTATGTATGTGTGTGCGCGCGCGCAGTGCATTACATAGGTTGGTATTTGAAAACAAGATATGGAATTAGCTAGCATGCAAGAGCTGAAAAGTAGATCTCCACTAAATTGTAAAAGAGCTTTCAAATCAAAGATACCGCAAGAACAATATTGCAAAAGTTGCAGGGGATGTAGCAGAGTTGCTCAGGCGCAACATCGATGCTGCAACTCGACATGTCTGATCTCAAGCTGAAAGAGGGAGGTGAAATAAGAAGGAAAATAAAAGGAGGTCGAAGGAGAAAGATAGACGAAGATAATTGAATAGCTCTTCTCTCGCAATATGTTGGACAACAAAGTAGAAGGCAAAGAAAGCCCTTTTAATTATTCTCTCTCTCTCTCTTTTTCACAAAACCTCCTTCTTGCTAAGATACCGGGTTGTGTGTGTGTATATATATAATTATAGAGAACAGTAAAACTTGAGGGAAGGGGTTGTATAAATAGAAATTTAGAATATAGAGAGAGGAAGAAAGAAGTTGATGAGGGCTTGTTTGGAATCCGAAGGAACAGTAGATAAAGGGAAGTGATGGAGGAGAGGAGAGGAGAGGAGAGTAGGGTAAGGCAATGCGATAAAAAAAAAAGTAGTTTTAGTAGTGCCCACGGCAGTCAGGGAATGCTGGGACCGGCAAAGGAAAAGAAAGTGGTTTTTAGTTCATATTGGAAAACCAGATTCAAGTGGACAATAATTCTAGCAAAAATTAATTTTTTTACACCTCTTAGAATTTATATACCTTAAAAGGAAAGATATAGCAAGTAAAATATAATATAATATAAACAAGATCATAGTGAGATGTGGTAAAAAAAAAGGGATAAATAAAAAAATTGTAAAATAAGTGTGGACTAATTAGGAGTAAAAAAACATGTATTCTTAAATTTAATTACACCACTTTTTGCAAAATAAATAAAGATTACTTCATTCATAGGGTTCAGTGATTAGGCTTAATGAGTTTCTTGTTTAGGAATTCCTATATATGTCTTCTAGAATAATATTGCAGAAGTGATGAAACAAAAAATTTATAAATATATCAAATAGCTTGTCGGTATTGGTTTACAGAAGATAAAAAAACAGCAGCATAGTGAGTTACAAATAAATAGTTGTGTATATAATATAGATTTTACTGTCTCAGATTGTGAGGAAATGAGAAGAAGTCGAATATATAGTTACAGTATAAGATGATTTTCATTTAATATGGAATTATATAGAAACCACTGCATATGAAGTGAATTGAAGTATTAAAAGTTCAAAACACAGCAAAGGTTTTGGCCGCATTACCAAATCTGTACAATTGTATATAATAAGATATATATTAGTATCTTTATGATGGAATGAGAGTGACCACTCCCATCCCATCCTCAGACAAACCTGCAACTCTACAGCGGACGAGGGGGGCGAAATTTTAATATATAGTATAGTGGCATGACTTTCTTCCATAACTCCAGCGATCCATTTTAATATTAGTTGTTTATTTCTTCAAGAAAAAAGAAACTGAACTTTCTTCAAGTATATAAAATGCAGCTTCTGAATTTTTAATAGATACGTTGGGATACAAGAAAATACACAGATGACCATAGACAGTTAGTAGTTATTATATAATTAATGTATTTTTTTTAACAAAATTATACTAAACTAAAATAAATCTATGATAATAAAAAAATATTCAAACAGTGTGATTCCTCAAATTTTTTTCGTACGTACTTCAGAAGCCGTATAATTATATAGAGACACTAAATTAAAAATTTATCAGCTCAACAAGGAAGAAGATATAAAATATGTATAATGATAAAATTTCTGTGCGTATATTCTGTATGAATTGTTGTATGCATTCGCGAATACGTTGGTATTTCTTTCATCAAATATATTATAATTAATGTACTATCTAGTAAATGTTGCTGTCATTTTGGGTGGTAAAAAGTTAGCATGGGATGTCTTTCATTTTCTCCGATCGACTTTTTCTTGCAGCTTTTGTTTCCAAGGGCTAAGCAAATCAATCATAAAACCTCGAAATAGTTACATCAAATACGACAGTTGAAACCCTAAGAGCCACTAAAATTGCTTCATATAAACATCATGCTTTTTGCTTTTATTGCTTTTGTTTTAATTTTTTATCGTTTTTATTTAAAATAAAATAAACCGTGTGTGATTTAGACTTGAGACCTAGCTAAAACCGATCGTTCTGTATTAGAATGTTTTACATTGGTGAGATAACATGGGGTTTAAATTTCTGGCCATAGGCTGATCAAACTGATTAGAACCTAAGATGAGTTAATTAGCTAGAAAATAATTACATCGGTAAAATAATTACTTTGCAGACATAATTATTGTAAAAGACAAACGAGATGCATAAAAGAAGTCTTGGTAGATATAAAGATACTCAAGAAAATGATAAAATCCACAACATTATTAGGATCTCTTCTTTGTCGATTTAGCCATTTTAATAGGCAGTACTGTTCCATTGCCCATTTAGCTCCAGTCCCTTTCCATGTCTGGTGTAATAAATTCTACATAACTCGCTTTGCTTCATCACCCTTCTTTTGGTATTATTGATAGATGCTAGCCTATATCGCTATTTTTTTAACGTCTTTTCCCATTGACTGTTGTATCATCTTGTGTTAACATGTAGTTTTCATACTTGTTGAATCTTACAATGATATCTGTCAGCAAAAGCACCTATTCTTACATATTTCGAAGTTTGATCCAAATTTGAGCGACAATTAAATCCTTACATTCATATAACTTGGTGTGATGTTAGTTTCTGCCAAAAACAGAAAAAAGTTTTAATGGTTAATTAGTCCAGGTGTTGCGTGCACTGCATATTTATCTTTTTCTGGTGTTTAGCTTCTGATAATGCCATCATAATCTTAGTCCTTTGTGCGATTCCAAGAATTATTAAATTCGATCTTTGCCTGCGTTATGATGTCTTTCTTTTCTAAAATTTTGGTCAAAAGTCAGGGTGGTTGTTATAGGGTAAACAGCTTTATTGGGTTCAAAATTAAATGATATCCAAAAGCACATATGAATTAGACGTCCTTTTACCAAATGTTTGCTCTATCTCCTTATTATTCTGATTGTAAATCAACCTTATGCAAGGACGATTAATGCTTTGTTTGGAAAAATAATTTGTTTAATTAAGTATTTTTAATAAATTTTATCTCATATATATTAATAAATGTCCCATAATTAATAAACTAGATTGAAAAAGACAAACATTCTACATGTCTCTCAAAATACACGTAAGGGTACTAGTACACTTTCAGGTTTATAATTGCATTGAACGGCATGCTAGTAAAGTGTATTGATGGGATTGTTAAAGAGTTAAACAGTTAGGAAGCAATTAAGAAACACTGTGATAATTAGTTATCTTATCCAAGTACTGTGTGTGGTATAACATATTTGTTATTATTAATTTTATAAATTAATCTTTCGTTTCTCAAGATAATTTTACACTGTGATATAATTACTATTTGATTATTTTTTGTTAATCTTAATTATATCCCGATATTGTCATTTTCCATATTAATTTTACTGTACGTATTCTGTCTTTATTGTATGATTTTCTTTTCTTTTAGAAATTAATTCAACGTTTATTAAATACATAATATCTTCCTTTCTTTTCTTTTTTTAACTTTTGACGCAATTTTACTATATTTTTTCCGTTAACTTTTTTCTTCACCGTCACTGACACAAAAATATTGTTTTCTTTTTTATTTTACTTGTCTATTTTATTCTTTTAAAAAATAATATATTTTGTTTAATATTTCATATACATTTTCACATGAAGTAATCTTCGAACCTAACTCCAAATCAAAGATTAAAATAAATAATTTTACGCCAGTTCATTCACCTACTTAGTCCTTAGGAAAAAAAAATACAAATTATTACTATTACATAATTAACCAACCATTTCATGATCACCCATGTACTGTGCAGACACATGACTGTACTCAAAGATTTACAAATTAAACTTTTGGGTTTTGTTGTGATTAAAAAGATGATAATGATAACATCTTACAATATTTACATATAGATACGTTTTTCATGGAATATTCACATTTTGACGTGATTAATGTAATGCTTAAGCTAAATTAAAATTTATATTTAAATTGTAATTGAAATTAATTAGCATACGGTATACCTTGACTTTGGTTTAAACAAATTTTTTATTCTAAAAATTTCTAGCATGAAAAATGTAAAAATATTAATAATATTTTGATATTATAGCGGTAGTGAAAATGTACTAAAACGATTCAGGAGGGAAAGGTCATTTTATACTCGGAAGAGCCCATCGATGCGTTATGACAAGATACTGATGCATACCAAAATTATTTGTAAATCTTCATATCATCTTAAAGAGTATACGGTTTGATATGCTTGCGCAAGTAAATTCTAATTGGGTACATTTTTTAAAAGATAAAATGTATATTTAATTAGGTATATATATATATATATATATAAATAAAAAATAAATATATTTTTAATATATATTTAATTTATTGATATTTTTTATTTCTTCTCGAATCTCTATATGTATATAGTTTTCTCTTTTTAATTTCCAACACTCATTTTTTAAAAATTTCACTATTCCACTTTTAACAATATATATACCTGTATTAAGTGTCCCTTCAGATGATTTTAAGATAAATTACACTTTATTTGTTTATAATTTCAGGTTTTTGTAGCTTATTTTCGTATACTTTTTTCTATCGATAAATTTCCTAACCAAAACTAAAGTGATATAAAAAATGGTATCAAAGGGAGTTAATGTCATAAAAAAAGAATAAAAGTTAAAATAAAAAACGTAAAACTACATGAAGGTAAGTATTTTTTTTACCCATAATTTTACTATATAAAATAGAGTGTAGAAAAAATTACAATTTATCATAATTATTTGACTCAGTACACTTAATCTGTTGCATAAATTTTAAAGAATTATTGGTAATTAAATTAAAAATATGAAATAATTCAAGCTCATAAATTTTAATTAAGATTAAGTTCTCTTTAATTAAATTTATTTAATGTATTTAGTATACTTAGAATTAATGTAATGAGTAATAATATATTAAAAAATAAAGTTTTAAATTTCTAATTAGCGATAACTCCTTGTTTCACCGGTGTCTTACATAATTTTTGACTTGTTTTGTATTTATTTTTTCAATAAATGCATAAAAAATAGGCACTATAAAAATTAATAAGAAGAAAACAACATCAATATATATATATATATATATATATATATATATGTATAAAATTTCTACTATGGATATTTATTTTTACAAATTTCACATAAATTACTTGTTACTGTATTATTGCATGATTTGAATTTAGTGATATATTATTCAGTAAGTTTTCTATTGTTTTTTTGTTGTTAAACTTTATCCAGCGGAGGGGTACAGTATCTAACTAGTATTACAAAGTACAAATTGAATATTCATCATTATCTTAATAATTAACATATCACTAGAGCATGCGATAAAAACAAAACGAAAGAATAAATAATAATAATAATAACAATAATATTGTTATTAT